TATGAAAGAGGCGGGAGAAAGAAATAGAGAAAGAAATAGAGAAAGAAAAAAGACAAAGAAAAAGGAGAAAGATGAAGAATTGAAAGGTGAGATGAGTAAGAATAACAAAGAATGAAAGTTAAAATGGGAAGAATAGAGTAATCATTTACATTTCTCTTCTTTCATTATCCTTTCATATTAGAAAGAATTAGAAGGAGAAGAAAAAAAAATGAAAGAATGTTGGGTTAGGAGTGATAGTGATATTAACTAAAGAGAAAAATATATTAAAAAATAGCAATAGATTTCTCTTGTACCCTAAGCTAATAGAAAGTATAAAGAAAGAAAGAATGAGGTGAGGCAGGCGTTACCCTGGGAGTAAACATGTCAGTTTTGATCAAGATTCTGTTGAGATGACCTGCAATGTCTGTTTCCAGTTCGACAGACAGACAGACAGCTAGTCTATAAGAAGACAGGAATAATCGTAAATGCAGTTTAAAAAAAAAAATGATAACATGACAGAAAACTTGAAGTGTGCAATAATTATCAAGGTATCTTGAGTAAAGGGGCAGAGCAATCATTTAATTGCATATCGTCTTTACAAAAATAAAGTTTTGGCGTTAACGCCATGACCACATCATTCACCTTCCCTACTCGCCTTTAGTATGTTGGAGTGTAACAAATAAGCAAATCAAGTGTACAGATATTACTGTCTGAGGAATTAGTATCAGGCAACTGGCTTCTCACTGATTGATAATGCTTTGTGTACTAATCAGATGGGTCAGAGGAATTTATCTCACCCTGTTGTGTCCCACATTGAAAAACATGCCCTGATACTGTGGTGTTTGAAGGAAAGAAGAGAAATCTCAGGTTCTGAAGCAAAAATAAAATGAAAAAAAAATATGTTCAAGAATATGTAAAAACCAAAAACTAAAAGCAAAAATTATCTGTCTTTTACAAGCAGAAGAAAAAAGAAAAAAAATCTTTTGCTTCTGTCTTGATTCTATCTTATGATTTAACTTTGAGCAAACCACAATGTGACCAGAATCAAACATGTTTCAGAGCCAAAATGATTTATCTCAGCTACAAGGTCTACATATCTTTAGCTTATTCTCTTTGTCTATCCTACCTTACTTCTGTCCTCTAGAATTCTGCTTACACATCACAAAACAAAACCTAAGTTTTTTTCTAATCCTGATGAACAGTTGTACTGTCGATGAGGCTCCTTGCCTGGAACGTCTATTGGGAATCTAGCTCACACCAGGCCTCAATTGGAACTTGTATATATGCTCCATCATCAATAAAGATGCTGAAAAAATGGTCAGCTCCTCCCTAGAAAGTAAAGTACCTGACTCCTCCTGCCATGCTCTGAGTCAGGTTAATTTCATTTCCTTCATGTTCCATCAGTGAAGAAGAAGTTCCAGTCAGATAGCTTTCCAGAACTGTTATGGAATAGCTAGATGTAACTGTAAGTTCTATTTTAATAATTTCTTTTCTCGCCTTGGGAGCTCTCTTCTGATTTCTTGCCTCCCTCCTACCTACAATCTTCAAAAATTTAAATGTAATGTCTATTACTATCTTCTGTCTTTGTCATTTATATTCTTTTATTGTCCTTTCTCCTCACTAAAGTCTTCTCATGCTCTTCCATTCCTACTAACCCCTTGTGTTTTAGTGGCATTATCACCTTACTTGGTGTGAAATAATTTAAAAACAAAATACCTAGGCGTCTCAATTATCATTTTCCAGTTCAGATTCCCTTACACAATCTTGGGGAAGCTGACTTATGCTCCACCCTATAGTCATTTCCCCACAAATGAAACATTGAAACCATATTGCTACTCTGATTGTGATTTCCATATAAAATTTTCAAGCCTTTACAGTGAGTACATGATATGCTTCTTCCAGGGAATCAAATTTTCCTCATATTCCAAATGTAATGAGATAGTTTCACCCAGACAACTTTTCCCAAAGAACTGCCACTTTGTAGCTCAGACTTCTACTAGAATGTTAGCTGCTTCAAGCCAATCTCCTTGTTCTCATAATCTTCACTTCCAACCATAGTATCTTTCATTTATATCACATATTATTCATCATAACCATTTTAACATTAGCTTTCTACCTTGAGTGTCTCTTAACCCTTGTATTGGGTGAGTCTGTTATATAAAAGAAATCTTTAAAAATGTAATTTTTTTAGATATGTTTTAATTTTCTAATTATTTTCAAAGTAACTTCATTCCAATAATTAAAATTTTATTTATGAAAATATTTTCATAAATGAAGTTACATATATTCACACACTTTGTTGATATGTTTGTAAAGTTGGGTTTCCTAAAAAGTCCTCTTTGAATGAGGACCAAACAGTTAGTCAGGACTAGAACATCATTATTATTAATTATTAACCTGTGATGCCTTAGCATATTTCATGATAAAAATCAGATTTTTTCAGTTGACTTTCAGTTTGGTGATTTAAAATATGACTGCCATGATCAGTTGAGTAGTTTCTGACCAGTTTCGAAGGATGTCTTCATTTAGCTGAGTGTTCTTTTCAAAGGCCTTCCGATTCACCAATTTTCCAATATTTACATTTAAGATCCATATACTTTTGTAAAATTCACTTATAAACACCTAAAATGAATGTTATCTTGCAAGTAATACATAGTTTTTAAATAACATCAAGATGTTGGGACACTGTTAAGTTAAAGCTGTTTTAGTTGTCTATGCAGCATTTATTCTTGTGTAGTGACCTTAAAGATAATATCAGTAGTAGCTCTTAAATATATTATCAGCAGCAGCTTAAACATAATAACAGTAGCAGCTCTAAAATAAACTTCATATCAGCAGCTCTTGAATATAAAAACATGTGAACCCTAAAGTAATCTTCATTCCGGGTTTTCCCTCTTTCGAACTGCTGATATGAACTTTCCACGCTGAAGCTACAGGATCTGTGAATGCTTCACATAAAGCCACACCAACAAAGTAAATTCTCACTATAACATATTAATGAACATTTCATTGTGTATACAATTTATGCCTCACAAAATAAACTCTTGTTTTAAATTTTCCTTTTCTTAATTTTGTTTTAATAAATGATATTTTCATATTGCAAATCAATTGGTCTGTTATTTTGTACATGTACCCTTGACACCATCCCTATTTCATGTAGTATAAAATGTTACTGTAAGAAACCTTACACATTTAATTATTGAAGTAGCTAATTACTAAATTTGTCTGAATTTCTGAGTTGAAGAGTTAGCATTAATTATATTATTTACATTTGGACTAATACCATAGACAGAGCATATGAACTATGAGGAAGTTTTAAGGAAAATAGAAAGAAAAAGGACATTTATACAATCAGAAAGAGACAATTTAAAATTTCTGGGACACATAATGAGGAAAGATGGACAGGAGAATTTGACACTCACAAGGCAAGATGAAAAAAAAATGAAACACTTAAAATCATTTCTCACTCCGCAGTCCTTACCAGTGATCTGAATCCCCATTCATCTAGTTAAACATTTACATTCAGTCTAGTATCCTCATCTTTGTTGATGTTATAGCCATTGTGCACTCCAACCTTCTTCAGGTGCTTGTTGAATTCACACGCCAATACATTAATCCACTAGGCAAGTATTGGTTCATGAATTTGGTAACATAATAATTGTGAGTTCAAATTCTGGGCCAGGTAGTTCTAACTTAAAGATTAAAGTTGACTGAGAAGCAAGAAGCTGGAAGAAAGTTCCACAAGCAAGAAGTGCTATAGAAGAAACTGTTAGCATAGAACTTACAGTTATATCTAACCATTTCAACTATAAAATGATGGGACCTTGCTACCAATGTAATATTGTGTTTAAATTCATAAAGTCTAGGTATGAAGAGCTCATCAGAACAATTACCATAAAAGTGTTTATAGAAAAGGCACAGTGAAGCTACATTACAACCATATTGTTTGTATCAAAATCATAAGGCAAGATAAAATGATTGTAATAAAAGAAGAGGTACAATCAAATTGATTTTAAATAAAATAAGAGGAAAAACAAAATCATAATAATAAAACAAGAGAGGTAAAATGAAAATGATTCTTTTCAATATTAGTCCATGTAAAAAAATTTCCACTTTTTCTCATTCTCTTTTATCTTTGAACCATTTTTAATTCAGTTTTCTGCCATTTTGGAATTGCTGATTTGGCCCAAGAAAACATTTTCTTCTGTTGATAATCCTTTAAAAGATAACTTGATGTGCATTAATCGAAGCCACAAATGCTAATAAGATTCTAATTTGTCTAGATTCCCATGCAACTGAAAGAAAAAATGGCAACAAAAGATGTTGGCATCTTGTGGGACATGATTTCTTGTCACTATCTTGATAAATAATTAGTCATTATTAATGCTGAATGATTCCTGTTAATTTCTTCTGAGATGAACTCAGCTGAAATCGAATGTAATTTTTCATTTGTAATTGTTTTATCATTATCATCCTGTGGGATTGTTTCTGTTACACTTTGGTGTCTGTGTGTGAAATTAACCATAAAATAATAAAAGGTCTTAATTATTTTACTGTTTTCTTATGAAAGCAGCCATTTTTTGCCAAAAAAAGTCACAATGAACAAGATGGTTTCTAAGGAACTGCAGAATCACAACATATGAAATTACATTTGGATTTTGGGTGGTTTTAAATAATTGATTTGGAATTAATAAAAAACAGCTTTGATAAAAGATGGAAATAGGAAGAGGGAATAAAAATGATGCCAGCAGAATATGAAATCAGTGTTTTATATCTGCACATTTCCACAAAAATAGACATTCCATTGCTTTTTTATTTTTATTTTTTTTTCATCAAGGCCATTATATAATAATATCTGGATCAGTTGGGCTTATTTTTGTCAATAATTTGACCTCATGTTGATGATCACTGAAAAAGAATGAAACAATGGCCAATTGTTTTAAATGTAATTGGTTATCAGTTTATAGTTTCATAAATAAATCAATGAATAAAATTGGTTGAGCCTGTTTGATAAAAATCTGATGTTGTTTCTTTTATTCTTTTGTTGTCTCTCTCTCTCTCTGTGTCTCTCTCTCTCTGTGTCTCTCTCTCTCTGTGTCTCTCTCTCTCTCTGTGTCTCTCTCTCTCATACTATCAGATTTTTTTCTGATCTTTCTCTGCTTACACAAGGAGTTATCTCTCTTCTACAAATTCTTCAATCATAGTTGCCATTGCTTCATCTCATGGAATAACAAAATACATCCAAAATAATTCCCTATAAATGTTTACAGAAACAATTATTGTAGCAAAATTTATTTTACTGGGGGTTAATGTAGAATCAGGTGTTAACAATTTTCTTTGTTGTAAACAAAGTTTTATTTTTTTTAATGTTTTTCCTAGTATATTTTTTTCCGTAGCTCATACTGTATAGAATCGATGATTTTCTAGAAGGTATGACATTTTCATTAATTATAATTTACAGTGGTTCTTATGGAGATTATGTAATAATTTTGTTAGGCAACAATTTTATTTCAGGTGTGTGAACAATTTTATGAATATAATATTATGAACATTATTTACATTATTCGGACTATTGTCCTCGTCTTTGTCGCCATATTTATTATAACGTTTTGGCCATTGTATGCTCCGGCCTTCTTCAGGTGGTTGGAATGTCACCTGAACCACCTGAAGATGGCCGGAATGTACAACGGCTGAAACGTTGTAATAAATATGGCGACAAAGATGAGGACAATAGTCCAAATAATGTACATAATACCTCATCTCAGAAATATAGACAGACTCTGATAATGTTATGAATATTTCTTGTTCAGAGAATAGGATAATATATAAGTCAAGTCTGGAAGTTTATAGTGAGTCTGTCTATCTATCTATCTATCTATCTTTCTATCTCATTCTATTCATATCTATCTATCTTATTCCCTTCATATCTATATATATCTATCTCATTCTGTTCACATCTATCTCATTCTATTCATATCTCTCTCTCTCTCTCTCTCTCTCTCTATATATATATATATATCTCAGTTTCTTCATATCTATCTATCTATCTATCTATCTATCTATCAGCATGTTTGAAAATTTAAGATCTTTAAAATACCACCATGAAAAATGCAAATATATACTCAATATACAATGCTGATAATGTAATATAATTTATACATAGCCAATACTTGAAACTAAACAAATATGGTAATCAACACCTGTAAAAAATAAACAAATTAAACAAACAAATCTAAATAAACAAATTAAGTAAATAAATTAACAACCTATAAATGCGTACGTAAATGCCAGTAAATCTACTAATAATAGTTAACAAGAAATAGTTATGTAATCAATAATAAATAAAGAATAAAAAGTTTACAACACTAAAAAATAGCTACAAATAACTGCATTTAGATTCACAATTATTTCTACTCAGTAGCCTTTAGAATAATTTGAAACATAACCATTATCGTCTACCCTATAGTGGTTAGGATAATACAATAGAACTTTCTACACATAATGCACTATTGACCAGTGTATATAAATAGTTGTGCCAAATGAGTTCTCAAGTAGACATCTGTGCAGACAACACTATCATTTACTCTTGTCTCAATTATAAATCCAGCATTGCTGACAAAGCTGACCTGGACATTAGTCTCAAAAATGACCTCCAATCTGTGGTTTACTTGGGCAGGAAATGGCTTATGAATTTTAATGCATCCAAAATGAAACTGCTGTCATTTAATCACCATAGAGAAACTTCCCTACCTTCTGTCAGCATGGTTGATGCTCATCTCCACAAGAGCGCCTCACTGCACCTTCTTGGTCTCACATTTTCCACTAATCTGAGGTGGAACAATTACATTAAATCAATAGCTGCATCTAGTGAAAGGAAAGTTGGTTCTCTGTGTCACACCAGAAGGTTTTTCTCATCTGAGTCCATCCTTTACATCTATAAATCCACCATTTGTCCATGCATGGAATACTGATGCCATATATCGTCTGGTGTCCCTGCTTTTCATCGCAAGGTTCTTGACAAAATCCAAAGACTGATATGCAATGTGATCCGTCCTGTCTTGGGGTCTCAACTCCATTCACTTTCTTACAGACAGAGAGTGGCTTCCCTCCATCTTTTCTATAGATATTTTCATGGTATCTGCTCTGATGAGCTACTAGGTTAGCAACTCAGTCCCAACCTTTTACTGTCAAAACAGTTAAATGTAACTGCCTTTTCTACTCCAACTGCTTCTTCTCTTGCACTTCCCAACAGTGCAACTCCCTTCCTCTTACTTGCTTCCCTGTTACCTGTAATCTTCAAAAATGTAAGTGTAATGTCAATTGACATCTTCTGTTGCCTTGATCCCCATTCTTTTTTTATCCTTTCCTCAATCCAGTCTTTTCCCTTACTTACACTCTCTGTAGCCCCTTGTGTACTAGTGGCACTCCCACCTTGCTTCAAGTGAAATGCTTAAAAAAATATCACAATACACATAGTCTGAAGATTGCATTGAATCATGAAACAGACTGTCACCATTTGGT